TGAGGTCGCCCCTGAGCCTCCTCTTCTCCAGGCTGAACAAGCCCAGCTCCCTCAGCTGCTCCTCGTAGGACTTGTTCTCCAGACCCCTCACCAGCTTCGTCGCCCTTCTCTGGACTCTCTCGACCACCTCCATGTCCTTCTTGTAGCGAGGGGCCCAATACTGAACACAGTACTCGAGGAAGATCTGCTCCACTGGTTCCTGCTCTCTGTGGCTGGAGAGGCGGATGTCCACAAAGGGACGCTGCCTCCCAAGAGAGCAGATAAAACCCCCTTGCACTTCATAAAGCAAAGCAACAGCAGTAAGAATCCGCTTTTCACATCTAACACTCCAGGACACCGCGTATACCTGATTAAGATTTTAATTGCTACTGCAAATCTAGCTTCCTGTTAAACGTACATGTCAGGAAACTGCTGCCAATACTTCACTCCGCTCTTTCAAGCGTGCTGAACAGGGCTCAGGTGATGTGGTAAACTTCTAGGCTTCATTTCCTGTTATTTTTTGTTATTGTTGTTGTTATTGTTTCAGAAGCTGCGCCTGCTCACCCTTGTTCAGTCATGTCTGTACCAAGAGGACTGCGTGCAATAAAGTTCCTAATGAAGATTTCGCAAGGAATCCTAATGGATGGGAGCTCCCACTCTGTGCTCTTGGGAAGCCTCCTCTGGGATACAAATCAGTCACTGACACCTTTGGAACACAGATTTCCTAACAGTAACCGCATTGCCTTTCTACGAAATGGACTGGAGCTGATTTTTTAGCCTTCTGGAGGAGTTTAAAATCGAGAAAAATCACTAATATCATTTTTTGCTGAAAAAAAAAAGAAAGTAAACAGACCATAACCTGGTAATTAAACCTCCCTGTAACAAAAGGAAAAGAGAAAAAAAAAAAAAGGAAAAAGAAAAAAAAAGAAAGGAAAAGGACTAAATTCTTAGCTTGTGGTTTGAAGCACGTGGAACCAATTCAGGCTCATGTAGCTCCTGCCATTATATCCCAGGCACTTGCTCTTGCTGACAATAGTCTCTGTGGCTGCACTGTTCCCTAAAAACTCCTAGAGAAAGAAAAAAGTGAAGGAGAGTTGCAATGAAGCTACCCCAGGTCCCTGGCTTGGTGTACTCTGCATCTTTGCAGCACTGCGGTGAGGCAGAAAGGGAAAATTCCTCACACAGGGGCTGCCTGTGAAGTTCTGTCCCATGAAATAAAACCCTGTCAGCCTACCACCAGGCACTGCTTCGGCAGCACACAGGGAGCTCACTGTTTGCTCCCAGCTCGTACGCAAATACCTGGGCAGAAAATTTCAAACGGCCACCCAGAGCAGAGGCATGGAAAAAACACAACCAGGCAAGTCAGCCGGTTTCAGCGATCTCAGAGTGGAAATAACAAGGCTTCCCAGACCGATTGGGTTTAATTAGTAGGCTCGGGCATTCCTCCCTCAAATGCTCTCACTTACTTTGGAGACACCTACGATTTAGACAAATTCCTTCTCTCCGGCCAGCATGCCAAGCAAGGTCTCTTCACTGGGGCTTCTAGCAATTAGCACCTACAAGATATAGTTCTGGCCTTTCCTGAAAACAGTAACTTTGCTGCTAAAAAAAATGTCCAATTTCTTACTGCTTATTCTAATTTCTTCTCTTCATATCACCAGAATCCCTCTCTTCTGACTGAACAGCATTATTGCCATTATTATACATCCCCAGCACACTGCTGCAGAGAATTAGGTGATATACTTCAATCAGCTCCGTAGACAAAAGATGTTTCAGGCTCAAGAACAAGTCGAAGGATTGAGAGGCTCTCAGATCATTCTAAGCAGCTTCTGCTTTTGTGCATTTCCTCGTCCTGTATCAATGGTTTTGATTAGGAATTTCTTAATTCCACTAGCAGATTGTGCTTTCTTTTCATATTTTAACATTTTATGAATGTAGCTCTCCAATAAATTTGGCTGATGTCATCCAACACATTGAGAAGTTGATCTTGGTTTTAACAAGCTAACTACCAACACTTTTTATCTTTCAGAGTTAGATGTATTAATATTCTCTTGAACACCATTATTAACTGTATGTCTGCATACGAATAATCCAGGGAAGTTTCAGCAAACTTGAAAGCCGCTCAGAATTAGAGATGCCTTGTTGGCCACTACAATATCAAGTATATAATTGCTTTTGTCGAGACACACTTTGGAAATAAAACATATACTCAGCAGAAAAGCTTCAACTATTATTGCCTTAGCATTTTTAACAAGTTGAAATGATTTCATTAAGTCAACTTTGATTGGGTTTATTCTTTTTTACCTTGCAATGTTTGTCATTTTCTTCCCCAGTCTTGAGATTTCTTTTCTTTTTTTGTCTGGTGAAACTACTCTTTCCTGATTCATACTGAGCTGGAAGAACAGGCAAGGCTCTTAGCTTAAAGCACTCTGCATCCTGAGGCTGGGCTCACCACGCCAGAACCACTGCCTGCTCCGTAACAACAGCGTTATTCCAGGAACAAGCTCCTTCCTTGCAGGAGGGGCCAGAAAGGCACAGGCTACTGGCCTCCTCTGCTCCTCTCAGGGTCCAGAAGCAAGGAGCAGTCTGAGAATGGTTTGAGAAGTCAGAGACCAACACAAGCACATGCTGTGCTGTGCTGGCTCTTCTTGGACCCAAGAGCTCTCACTCACCCACTTTTCTCTCCTCAGACTGTCCCGGCCGTGCTCTTGCACATGGCTGCATCAGACACTTTGGAAAGGTGACGCAGCCACGGCCATTCCCACTGGGTAGCTGCTTAAGGTGGTGTTACACCTCTGCAGCCTCCACTGGCAAATGTGCACTGATAGCAGGACCTAGCCCAACGCTGTGTCTGTGCCATCCTCCAGACTTCAGCTGGAAAGACACAAAAGGCCCACGAGGGCTCCGCCAGGAAGCCAGCCGACACCGACCTGCTTCAATCTACGAACGATGCCACCCGAGCCACCTCGGTGACAACACATGCATAGCGCCGTGTTTAAGGGCACAGGAAACCTCAAAAGACTTCCACCCTTCATCTGAGGTCTGCCAAAAGCAGAGTAAGATAGTTACCAAGAAAGTCTCACTACAAAACGTGCCAGCAGTACCATCGAGCTGCGTTCAAGTTACAGCAGCTGAAGTCTGGTAGATGTTGAAGATAACTTCATAACCTCCTGTTAAAACCACAGCAGCAATTCAGACTGCATTTGAAAAACGGAGCTCCTACTTATTACTAATGTTATTAGTAATACTCATGCATGAAAAGCAGCTTTCCGACTGCCTTCTTGCCATGTAAAACACACAGGTGGCACACTATTTTTCAATCTCTTCAACTTGTCAAAGATTGCTGAGTTTTAGGCCTTGTGTTAAGATCTTTTTTGCAGAAGAAAACCCGTGCCATTATCTTTTATTTCCTTGGTATAATTTCCCTGGTGTGTTGATGACATCTATTAAGATAATGTCATGCACATACCCATACAATCAAATTATATATGTTAACTTTTTGGCTTACAGGTACTGCAAACAGCCCTTAGCACTACTATAAATGATGAAATCCTAATGTTTCTTTCCTGTTCTCTTTCATAGTTATTTCTTGGTAGAAGGGATTGAGGAAGAAAGAGAAAATAGAAACTGCAGTGTTCCCGCTTCAGAGCCACAGCCATTCAGAAGCCCAGTACGCTACGAAGCGTGTTTTATGTCTGTCCCAAAAGACCTTATCTTCGTCCTCAGTCAGCATAATGGTTCTCCTTCCTAATAAGACTACAGTCCTACCAGACGCCTTAACACTAATCCAGGAATGTTTTGAGATTTACCGTAGAGAATTCTTTTCAAACACAGATACTGCAAACACTTTTCACTAGGAGAACTACATCCATGGATATAGAAATCTCTGAGAAGAGATAAATTTTAGATAAAATGTTACGAAAGTGTCTTACTGGGTGCAGGAGGTCACCTAAAACTAGCCTATTTCTACACACCGCAGCACAAATATTTAGTTTTCTTAGTAAATTGCTTGAGAGTAAGACATTATCATGATATCACATCAGAAGTGTTTCATCTGCCCAAAGTCCCTTGGATATCTGAACTAATTTCTAGTGATGTTATTTACAAGCGAGCTGGAAAGCAGAAAAATGTAAGAGGGTAAAGCTGCTCATGGGAACTTGTTTATGGTATTTTAACTTTTAAGGCCACCACAGAAAATCACCAGCTTAAATTCTGATGAAGTTGATACAGAACAGCATTGATAAAATAGTACCTGATATAAAGTAAGTGTTGCATTATTACATACATTTACATACATTACATAAAAATATGTAGAGTATGTAAAGCATACACACACGCTTTGCATGTGTGCCAAACCTGAAACTTCAGCAGAAATATGCGTGCCTGTGCTAGCTTTAGGAGGAACGGTGAAGTGCAGCAGCAGCAGGGTGGATCTCAGAGAGGACTCGGTATTTCTAGTCCGTAAAAGGCACTGTTCTTCCCAAAGTGGTGAAAGTGAAATGAAAAATGGCCTTTTAGTTAATCAGCAAAGCACAAGTTTTAGCTGTAGGTTCACTTGCAGTGTGGATTTGTGCTCAGCATGGCATTCGTGCTCGACAGCGTGCCACGTTGGCCCCTGGAAAGATACCGCAGATCCTCACGGTGGTTTGGGAACAACCCAAGCGAAGAGAACACGGCAGGTAACTGTTCATACACCTCCGTGAGGTGCCCATCGTTACCCAGTGCCAGCAATGGGATCCAGCAGGCAAATCACCTCAGGGACTAACACGAAGTGCGCGCCCCAGCAGGGAGAAGGAGCTGCCCCATCCCTTAGCCCTCTCCACACCTGGATGGCGCGAAGCTCCATCTCCTTTCAATTTCTGCTTTCCAGCCATACTTCTCCCAGATTGCTGTCAGTCCCAGCGGCGGTGCCCACCCCTTCGAGCCCAGCACCTCTTCCAGCCCCTTCCCCACAAAACCTCGCCACAAGCCGAGGCACGACGACTTCCCCCCCCCCCCCCAACCCGTCCCTGCCTTCGTACCATCTGGGCCACCTTCAGCATGCCGGCACACGAGCGGAAATAGGCGCCGTCCACCAGCTCCCCGTCCGAGCTCGCTGAGGCGCTGGAAGAAGCGGCGGGAGGCGATGTGGACGCCGGCCCTGCGCTGCTGACACCGGTGCGGATGACCCGCGCCCCGTGCGACATGGCTGCCGGCCCCGCTCCCCTCAGCGCCCACCGGCCCGCCACCGCCGGCACGGAGGCGGCGGGGCTGGGCGGCGCCGAGGGGCCGCTGAGGGGCAGGGCGGAGCGCCGAGCCTCCCCGCCCGGCCGGCTGGGGTGGGGAGAGGGCCGAGGGAGGGTTTGGAGGGATATGGGGTGAAGGAGGAGCCGGCTCGGTCCCCCTCGGACTGTGGTGGCTTGGCTGAGGTGTCCGCTGAGGGGACATCTTCCCTCATGGAGCGTGCTCTCGCACCAAATCTCCACAACGAAGCACCAAATCTCCACAGAAACCCCACCAAAGCACCACAGAAGCCATAAGCCGTCCGATTTGTCCCAAACATTATTAGCACTAAATGGGGCACGGCAGGCAAAACTGGCAGAACGCCCCGGCGCCACGCTTTGGGTGAAATCATGCAGAGTTGCAAACAGCGCTCAGTGAAGGAAGCTATATGTTTCCTAGGGTTTAAAAATAGCTTGTTTTGCTTTCTGATAAGCAGGGTGAGAGGAGGCCTCTGAGCTGGGCACACGGAGCTTCTACACTCGGTAGTGCAGTAACCCCATCATACGCTTTGTTCTGAAGTTAGGATGTGTGTTCTGTTCATATTTAGTAATTAACAGGTCCTTGAGCAACTAAGATTGTCTTAGGAGTGGACAGGAAAGTTCAGGTGATCTTCAACACAGATACAGGGTCTAGCATAAGGCATTTACACAAGCAAGACGGGGTTTGTGGGTGTAGGCAACAGCTCAGCAGAGGTTTTGGTTTCTATCTAGTAGTTGCAATAAAAGATATTACCTCTCCCACCAATTTGTAGCCCATCTCATTAGATATCAAAGCTGCAACATTACCAATCTACACGAGGAAAATGATGAGAAAGCAATTTTTTAACAGCTTTTTATATTTTCCATACTGTTCCACATTTATGGTTTCCTTGCAGGCTCTGTGGAGGAAGGCTCTGGTAATTTCTGTACTTCCTATTAAGAAATATATTTTTCTTGCCTGCTGATTCAGCTAGTTCTTAATTTCTCATGAAAGTATGTATATGACTGGGACCCTGCTGATCTGAGTTTAGCCCAGTGAAACAGAAATACCTTTACACGAATGCATGTAGAATAATAGTCATATTTTCTACTCAAAGATATGGCATTTTCCATAAACCACTGGCACAGACTCGAGTCTAAAACACCACTGAATTTCCAGTTTTGATTATAATTCTCAAGAATTTTGCTAAGGATTTCATCACTTCCCAGCTTACTTTTAACTAAGGCTTCTATCTTACACACCAAAACAAATGTCTACAGCCATACAACTCTTGTTACATGATAAACCACAGCTAGGTTATCTTCCTTATCAACATTAGAATATACAGAAGCACAGGTCATAGTTGGCAAGTCACTATTTAAGACTAACACATCTGGAAGAAACCCATGACCTTTCGGATGCTTTTGCCTTTTTTCAGGCCTGAAATAGAAGCAGAAACCTTCAGAAGTAATTCTCAGCTTGTATTGTACCCAATTTTAACTAGACATGCAGATCACTTGAAAAACAATCACTTGGTAGCTGGGGAAGACATGGGAAATGAGAAAATTGAGAAATAGCATGGGAAGTAAGATGGTTATCTTTTCAAATGGAAAGAACAAGGCAGATAAGTTATGGTTTGGGAAACAAAGCAAGGCCAAACACAGAATAAATTTGTGCCTAGTATGTATTTATCTTTTTTTTTAACTCGGCAGATTTAAAAATTTAATTCCCAGACTTGCCTTTGGAAGACATTCTGCACGTCTTCCCTTGAGGATCAGGGCTGAAGACTCATAGATGAGGTAGACATTTTGCCAGGAGCATTCCCTGGCTGGCAATATTGTGGTTGTAACCTTCATTAATGGGTTTACTCTGACATATAGTGGCTGTTTTCTAACACGCAGTTTTTTGGTAAACTGGGTGAAACATATTACTCCCTTGTAGCTCTTCTCCCTCTTGCTACCTCTATCCACAAATGTTGTTTGGGTTATGGTGTTGGATCACCCATCACAGTTACCACAAGGTCATGAAACATTCATGCAAACACAGTCATGTTCTTTGAACTTAGATATGTATGTCAAATATCATGCAAGAAAGAATTTCTATTACTACTCAAGCATTTTCACAGCTGGGAAATCACTCAGGAGATTTTAATTTTGGCTATATTTCTAGTCACATTTAATCAGGTGACATTTGTATCATTTTATGCCTTTGATTCTTTTCCAGCAATGGGAAAGAGCATATGGGATTTTAATGACACATTTTATCTGTGCAGATAAAATGCATAGTTGGTAGCCCTTCTTCATTCTCAGGATGGGATAATATTAGCAAGCAGCAGACAGCCTGACCTTTGTTACGCAGGCCAGATGCAACTGCAGACAAATATAGGTATTTAAATAATATCTTGGCTTCCCTTATATTGAAATCCTGTGACTCCGATAGATAATCAAGAACAAACCAAGGGGATTGAGAATAGAATTAGCTGGCAGCTGATAAATCTCCCTAGCTGCAGGGCATGCACGTAAGTAAGCACACACCATTTACTCACAGGGAGAAATGCTTCTTTGAAGCTGCAAGATTTCTCTACTACCAAATATATTAGTTCAACAACGTCTTCGAAGACCAGAAGAGTCCAAATCCTCTTAATGCAGGAATAAGGGATTTACCGGTAGTTTTACATGAAACTTGAAATAATATCACAAAGTAATCACAATCTTTCTCTTCACATAATTCCTGGAAAAGATTCCGTAGGTAATTTCTATTTGAAAGTCATTTTCAAAGGTATTTGTCTTGAAAGTCATAATCTTCCATCATACTTCTGTTTGACTCAAAGATATTTAAATGTGAGTCAAATTAAAAACTTCATTTGTTAAACTAACAACTCACGAATGACGCCAATAAAGAGGGAAGGAGGGAGTAAATCCACTAGTGTCTTGACAATTCTTCTAGGGATTTCATCTTTGTATCATTTAATAAGATTTTGATACCCAGATTTTATTTAGGACAGATTACTGGCCTAATCTGAGGAGAGAAAAAAAAAAAAAAAAGGAACAAAAAGAAACAGTTCTCAGAGAAACAAAAATTATACCTTTAGTAGGTGTTCAGTAGGTTAAACACTGAGCATTACAGGCCTGTTGTCTAGACTTATGCCTTGGAGCCTGCTGGATTTGAGAAACCTGTTGAGATAATGTGTTTCAGACGCACCACTCCTCCAGCAAGCTTCAGACCTACATTAATAGGTTCCAGAACCAATCTCATGACTAAAAGAGGTTATTAAAATATGTAAACTGACAGCATCATTGGAATTCCAAGTAGCATATACTTTCCACTGAAAAAGAGATAAAAAACAAACCCGTACTCCCAGGTTACAAAACATGCAAAGTTGGGTCATTTATTTATTTATTTTTAAAGTTTTTAGGGTTTTTCTTCTGCACAATGCCACTTTTTATACATAGTAACTAGACAATATCAACCTCAGTGTTGATTTGTAGCATTCAGTATCAAAATACAACTGTCACATTTAAAAAGTTAAATTTACAAAATTGGCACATCATTTCAGCAAAGTTTATTAAAGGTTTAGTCATAAGATCTACACAATGTCTAGAAAAATACCATGTTAATTTTAAAAGAAGTATGAAATTTTATTATACAGTACAATGTCAATGTTAGGTGTCACTAAATATGATATTGTATTATAAATACCCATTTTAATCTCAGTTAAAATATATTGCCAGTTCTAACAGAAATGTTCGAAAAGATCCGATCCCTCGTCCAAGCTTTCATCAAATGAGTACAATCCTCAAGGTAGTTCATACTACAGAATTCACTTTAACGAAGTATTTACTGCAAAGTTCTTGATCGCCAAGATATAAAGCTAAAATATGTATTTCCAGCATAGCAGGAGGTAACCACGAAGGCAAAGAACTGTAGAGAGAGGGGAAAAAATATATATATTAGAAAAAAAAAGAAGTCTTTGAGAGCATTCTAATTTCTATGAAAAATTAGTTATGGCATTTGGAAAAGGGAAAAGTATCAAATTTACTAAAATAGTGCTCTTTGGCCTCCTCATACTTGGGTTGCCAACAGTCAACACTGTCTAAGTAAGCTTCTATGAAGAAATATGGGCCTAGAAGCAGCCAAAAGGAGGACTACTTCAACACTTACCTCCACATTATATTGCCTTAGTATGGATGGTGTGGACCAGACGCCTGCCAATCCTACGTGTGCAGCTTGTAACACCAATTTCTGGTAAAGACTGAGGGATAGCCCATGGGAATGTTTTGTAAATAAATACAATGCTGCTATGTTCCAGGAATTGCCTAAAGCCCACCCATGCCCAAGCGTGGCACACCTTGCATCCAGGTAGTTTGTAGAAGAGACCAGGATTTAAAATTCAGGCCTAGGCACGTTCTCAAATGGCAGTATCAATTGGGTTACTAATTTCAGTGGTCCTCCATTAATGAATAAAGGTATTCCTCAGTGCAAATAATGGTGACAACAACCATGGTGAGATATTACTGCTTTCTCAGAAATCGACTGCAGAGCGAGCCTTCTGCAGCGGGCTAGATTTATTTTATACTGGAGGATTTTAAGAACTACAGAGTATCAGTGGTGCTGCTTCCGCAGCCCTTGCAGCATATGCACCCAGAAACCAAAGAACAGCTGTGAACTATTTCAGTTGTACTGATAAAGTCCAATTTGGTGCCAGTGGTTAAGTTCCTGCTAATGACTGCATGCTGTACAAAATAGCTTATGATAAGGCCAGAATGTTTTGTGCTGGTAACTGAACCAAATAAAGCTGACACTGCAGAGAGGATTAACGCTACTTTTCTTGGAGGTCAGCAGTGATAGGGACGAGAGGGAACAAACACAAGTTACAAGAAGGGAAACTTTGGTTAGATATTAGGAAAAAAAAATCAGTTGGAGATTAATCAAATAGGACAAAAGGGGCCCAGAGACATTTTGGAACATCCATCCTTGGAAATGCTCAAAACTCAACTGGCCAAGGCCCTCAGCAGTCTGGAGGAGGCCAGGTGGGACCAGATGACCTCTAGAGCCGAAAAATAC